CCTCTTGTGTGCCATGTCAAAACGAGGTATTCCACAGTTTTTATAAACGAGCCAAGGATGTGATACACAATCTCAATGTCCATGTTGATTTTGTTGATGGTTCAGTCCTGCTAGACACTACAGGAACGAGTGTCAAAGAAGTGAAGTGTCATATTAGATCAGCACAGGCTCAGTGTTTGAACGGTAAACTCACTGAACGACCAAGTCTATATGCAGAGTGTTGGGAAAAAGAGCCACCCTGCCGAGTTCGTTACGTGGATGAAGTCGGCTGGTCTTAAATGTGAAACAGGAACCTTTATCTTTGCTACTCAGTCACTTCGCACTTGTAACTCTCAATTGATGTGTGATTTTGGTTAAGAAAATAGACGAAATGTACAGTATGTGCTGAATTTAACGAGACTGTCCAGTACCATGTCAGTGGATGCCTGGCGTTGGCACAGACACAATATCTGTAGCGACATGATCGTACTCATGTATTACCGTCTTGGCCATGTTTGTGGTTTTCACTCAGTTCCATCCATGGTAGGAACCAAAATATGTAGGGGTAGTCATGGAAAATGACAGTTGTATTAATTCTCTGGAATAGGCCCACATAACAGCTTGAGACGTATCCAAGCCATCAAACATAACCTTTTCGTTTTGGATAAAACCAATAAAGAATTTATATAATTGTATTTCCTGTCCCTTTTGACAAAAATGTAATTGACAAGAAAAACATGACAAAAATGCGCACCTCGATTACGAAATGAAACGTTTGCATTCCAATTAACAAGGTGTCTGCCTCCTCATTGTTCTCGGTGCCTAAGGCTTGAAACCTCCCAATTTTCAGACTGACATTGGGAGAGTGCCTGGGTTTGCACACTCTTTCTGACACTCTAGGTAATGCAGACGGCTGCAGAGTCGGGGAGTCTACGCATTCTCTGAAACGTTCTTAACCGGTTCAACTTGGTTCCTGGGAGAAGTCCCATTTGCTGTCTTGGTTGCGTGTAGAGGGGGGCGTGGGCCCTGAGATGATGATGACCCTGACTAGATTGACTGTGCCCAAACCCTCTTTGCTGCATCTATTTTATCTGTAAATACTAACAATAATGATGGTGACGACTACGATGATGTTTCAACACCAGCAGATGTTTCATAATGAGGATTGCTCTTTAAATGTGTCTGGTGCCATGCCGGTTTTAGAACGATCGAAGATCACGTGACATAGATTACCGATAAAATGTCAACAGTACTATGCACAGAATCCATGTCTGATGTCTTATTTCCCAATGCTTATATTATTCATACAGACGATGGAACCTTCCTGGATTTCTATATCCGTTTGAGCTTGCTCGGTGAACCCGCTGATCCGCCGACCTGGCATCGCTGTCGAGGCTGTTGACGTCAGACGCCGGGGAGAGGCCGCGCGCAGCACGCTAATCCACATTAACTGACGACACTTGTGAAAACTCTTATCACTACATGATTTGTGTGTTTTGTACAATGACATTACGGAGGCAATATTTACAGCTTTTAGAAAAAACGTAGGCTATTTTATGTTGCCATCGATCTGCAGCTGTCTTTATTCAGATGTGAATCAGGAAGGGAAGTACACATCTGCAAACATCTGATTTTCGGGGCCCATTCTTTCCAAAAATATTAGCCCATTTTAATCATCCCCCGCAACGCGTTTTGCGGGATATTATTTTAGACTCCGTCCGTCCGTGCAAATGCGTCTTTTCCGGAGCAGAACATAACAGCCGTTAAATATTTCTTCACCAGACTTGACACATAGATAGGTCCAGTGGTAAACTGGTGCCTTTTGGTAGTTTTGGATTTCTGAATAAAATAATATTTGTGTTTCCATAGCAACAAGTTTGACTTCGACTGAAATTGGTGGTAGTGCTCTTTTCCAGAGCAGAACTCTAGTTGGTATATTCTTGAAGAGTATTTTTAAACCATTGTGGGGGATATTGATGACTGTGTCTTCTTGTTGAAATCGTTTAGCTGACCACATAAATGTTTCAAGGTATTACAGTTCATCATTGTTATTGTTTTTGATATAGAAATAATCGAGCACATGTTTATGCGGGAAAAGATATTGGAGCTTCAGAACATTTTAGAAAGAATTGTGCTGAAACCCTAAATGGCACGTATAATGTATATTTCAGTGTTGATATTTATGTTTTGATAAAACTGAAACTGATCCAGTTTGAGAAAAGGTCGTCAACGAATGCTCCGTCAACCAGACGGAAAGAACATGATCATTTTATAACAGCTGTATTGTACGTAAATAGAGTAAGATGGCACAGATGGTACAGTCTCCTTGGTACTTGGGAATGATGGAGCACTGCGACTGAGGGAGTGACAGACTGTATGAGGGAGTGACAGACGGACTGAGGGAGTGACAGACGGACTGACAGACGGACTGAGGGAGTGACACTAAGGAGTGACAGACTGTATGAGTGACAGACTAAGGACAGACTAGACGGAGTGACAGACGGACTGACAGACGGACTGAGGGAGTGACAGACTGTATGACGGAGTGACAGACGGACTGAGGGGAGTGACAGACGGACTAAGGGGCAGTGACAGACTGTATGACGGAGTGACAGACGGACTGAGGGAGTGACAGACGGACTGAGGGAGTGACAGACGGACTGAGGGAGTGACAGACTGAGTGAATGTTGTTCACGCAACAGTATTGAAATAATCTGGCCCGACAAACGAGTATGATGAACCACTTTGCTGTGGTCGTTGTTTCACGCCGAACTCAGCAATATTCCAGTTATATTATTGGTCAGAAAATGTACGAGTTTGGACAATCGAGTGATTGACATCATGAGCATAAATCTAGCTGGAATATGATAACATGATCAATCAATTCAGAGAACAGACCACCAGATCCTGTTTATGGCTTCTTACGCAGGCAACGGGTGAGGAACGATTGTAACCTGGATCGCCATGGGGTGCAACTTCGCGCATCACGTTATAAGTACACGGTCCTTGGGGTACGTACAGGTAGAACACTGCCCTTATATCCCAAGGACATCGAGTAGAACTGACAAAAACAAGGACGTCATCTTACAGATTGTCGTTATAGCCTTGGTGCTGCATGCATGTCACGTCATACTAGGGCCTTGATAACGTCATTTAAAACAGAAAACATAGATATTAGATAAGGGAGAACAACATATAATCTGTGGTGATCAAACAAGTCCGTATTACAGAAACAAACAAACAATAATTCATAAACGTTATAATTTCATGATTCGGTTCAAAATTGGAATTGTTGTTCCTTTACTGTCAATGTTGTATTGATTGCTGTACAATGGCAATGGCAGACAGGGTTAAGGTCAATTACAATAGTGTTGTGCTGAGAAGTGTCTGAACATATATTTACACAAATAACTCTCTCATAAGCTCGGACGTTTCCAGAGTAACGTTCTGTGGTAAAGAATTAAACATCACCCATTTCAGAGATCAGTTCGTCCTGATGATGTTAGCGTATTCACACGGGAGTAAACACTAGTATTATCGGAGATTTTCGTTTGCTGGGGAACTATAGGCCTGGGGCCTTTAATACCCTAATCAATGCCTCTTTAGTCAATTCAGATCTGGTCATTTGGTCACTTTGGGGATTGACGTAGTGTGTCTTTCGTGTACTCGCATAGACGGTAGTTGTCAACGCTGCAACCGACTCATATCGACCTCGATACTTCGAAAAAGCCTTTTATATACAAAATCAATTAGGAATCGCTTACTGACAGTTATTTCCCCATTGGATTTCACCAAAAGAGGCTGAAAGGTCCCCGTGGGACGAGTTCTCATCTTGTCTTGTAGGGATTGTGTGACTCGTGGCTGATGGAAGTGGATAGTCGACAGGTGATAGAGCGAGGGTAGATGGATAAGATAGTTATCGAGACGACCGCTATTCTGTTGTAGTTTTGGAGAGGTGTATAGGCCACCCCTGTCTTTTTATCTGTTTTTCATCTCCAGCCAAAACGAGCAAGAGAGAGAAAGTGCGAAAAGAATAGAGAGATATTTATGGAAAAAGTGTTGGTTTTTTTCACAAATTGTGTAACTTAATTTAAGAAATTTTTAACATTCAGATCACTTGGTAATAGCCACTTTCTGACGAAGGTTGAATTGATTTCCTTCGAAAATGATTTTTAACTTCGTGTAGATGAACAAGGATCAAGCTGATCTGTTTGTTGCTGTTTTTATTTTTGTTGGTTTTTTTCAGCGTGCAAAGGTATTTTGTCCCACATTCACTCGCCCAGTCAATCACTACCATACTCATCATGCACACTAGTCTGGGCCAGGGGAGGCCGGGGGGTCGACGACAATCTCAGACTGGCCCTGAGTATGTGCCTACGTTTGTCAGTACCAGTCTGTTCTCGAGGGTTTTACCAGTGTATTACACAACATATACCTGCATCACTACGAGTTTCCATGTCGCACCATGTCTCAATATAACTTATTGATATAACTAACGTCTGACCTACTTATACGTTAATCAAACCAACTCACTCACTCACTTCAAACACATTATACTATTTCGTTAATCAGCTGCGCGTTACAAGCTCGTTCAAGTGAGTGACTGAGCACTGAGTGCATGATGCTTTCCGCCGTAGTCAGGGATATCCCAGTAAGTGTAACAGATCCTCCTGGGGCCTATGTTCGGTGCTTTTTTGTTACGATATCCTCAATAGGTCTTAATATATCCGAAGACAGGTAGATGAAATTTAATCGTTTACCCCTTGGGCTGAATTTATTCTCGGACACTGTGTGTTGATCACTGGATTGCTTGGTCCAGACTCGATTATTTACAGACCGCCGCCACATAGCTGGAATATTGCTGAAGCTAAAGTCACTCACTCACTCACTCGGACACTGTACACAGTACAACCTTGCTACTGAGTCACATGCCTGAATCCAGCCCATGCGCTTCCAGTAGTAGATTATTAATGAGCAGTAATTGAGCCTCGGCGGCTCAGTCGTCTAAACACAAAGCTAACTCAACCCGCCAATTCATGTTCAAATTGCTTCAGAAAATTGAGGAAGGACGAAGTTGGTTGTCCCTCGAGTCGCCACTTTGCACGTAATTACAAGTTAGTGGTATAGTGTCCGCATCTCGCGGTACCTCCTGCTAGTGTCGATCAATGGACGCCGCTTGCACGTTACACGGAAGTAGGAGAGATGAGCCGCCGCGCGATCTCACCAACACTACTGTTAAAAGAAGCTAAGAGATGCTCGAGCCAGCAAGAAAACACGCCAGGAAATCTACACTGGTCCTCTCCGCGCTGCTATACTGGAATGCCTGTGGTGTTTTAAAATAGACAGATTACACTTCTTGCAAACCTAGCGTGTGCTGTGTCAGTGGCAGCAACGGAATAAGTTACCTTGGTCGGTGCCTGCAGCGATGCCAACTTATACCTAGACCAACAATGCACATGCACAGGTAAACAGCGTCCGGTGCTGCTCCAGGCTACACGTGGATACTTTACAACGTCTCGGAGGTGAGTAGTGTGACGAGGCAACCACGCCCTACATCTCGGGGTGCATGGGCGTGCATGATCACGTGTCAGTTTCTTGGCATGAGTTTTCTATGAAAAAAACATGTTTCATTCAGACCGTTTGTGTAGTGATTTCCATGTGTGGATACCTATATATGGTTCAAGGTTAGCGGTTTGAGTGCATGCTAACTACTTTGTGAAATAATATTACGAAGACATTGTTTGTGTTTGCGAAAATGTCATCAAACTTCAAAATTTTATTCCAACCCGTTTTTGATGTAGTTTTTTAAGTATGGCAGCTATTGCGTAGCTACCAAAGATTTGACCTTCGTGTAATGTAAATAGTGTATCAAGTAGCAAATCATTATAACCGGAGCGAAATAACCCCGCCGCACGAACATCTGCTCCAACGTGTTTTACAGATCGCCGTCACTACCTATAAAAAGCGTCGCCGCGGTGTCAACGTTATCATGGTTTATTTAGTGTATTGTCATAGATATCAACTCATCCACCAGCGTTCCTCGCCAAGACAGGTTCCAAATCGAGCACATATCGGCACCACACGTACTGGCATGGGTGCAGGACATAATGGCACGGCACCTGATACCTTTACACAAGTAAGGCGTGTATCTTTAACGCTGAAATGGTCGAGGAAATGCCTGTTCGAAAATGTCATTTCGATGCCAGTTCAAAAATACCATTAAGTTGCCTGTTCAAAAATGCCATTAAGTTGCGCCTTACAACGTATATTATATACGACCTGTACATAATAAATGGATCTACATGTGCCGTTAAAGTAAACATAAATACTCCATTATAGCAAGCTCGTTAAGCTCAAATCTAAAATCCTCCTCGCCCAGTTAATAGTTTCGTAAAGTGTTCCCTATCATCGGGAGAGCGACATGGACGAGATACTGTCTAACGAGGGAAGTTTGGCTTCGCTGCAAAACCCTGAGCATGGAATGCCTCATCCTCCCAGGTGTGTGGACCCCCCACCCCCCTGCTCCCCCATCCTTCCAGGTGTGTGAAAGGGGGCTCAGGTATTTTGTCCTGACAGATGGTCGGCGGTACAAATACTTCTCGTGCCTATTAATTGACTTTTCAACGAGAGAAATTCTCAAAGGTTTTCATGTGTACACATATTTGGTTGTGATATATATTAGATATGGCGTACAATAACATCGCTTTGAATATATACATGACAGCTCTACACTTGTCTCAACTCAAGGTATCAGAGTTCATAGGTGTCTCCCGATAACTGAAAATTATCAATAATCGTTGATAATCATTACGTGAAAGAGATGCACTTGTAAGGAACGGACTTTAACTATCCTGCACATTCATGAGCGCACATTCTGACCTTGACCTCCAGTATGCAGCAGTTATAGTAAGACGGGACAGAGAGTGCAATTGTTGAGATCTGCCTCCGCCGCTGTAAGCTAGGGAGGGTGGTGGAATTACCGCTGCTGACGCTGCAGTTTACACGTGCCCGTAAGCAGCATGCGGCAACCGCTTTACCTCGCTCACACAACCAATAAAACGTCTCGAAGAAAATAATCACGTCACGAAATACTCTGCCTCCAATGCGCGCTGTAACAAGGCACTTGTGCAGGACTTTTTTTAGCTCAAATTGTTGCCTTTTGCAAAGTCACGTTCTATGAATGTTGGAAAATATAGATTTTATTTCCAAATGAAAATAGCTTTATAATGTCATACTCTTTAATAAACAAAGAATTAGTGCAGCTGTTTATAGTTAATGTGAAGCATAAACACGCTGAAGGACCGACAGGTATTGTCAGTTTATATGCTGCTGAATTTCCGACTGACTACTACTGCTGCTGTTGCTGCTGCTACGACGACTACTACTACTCTGCTGCTACGACTACTACTACTACTACTACTACTACTACTACTACTACTACTACTACTACTACTACTACTACTACTACTACTACTACTACTACTACTACTACTACTGCTACTGCTACTGCTACTACTACTACTACTACTACTACTACTACTACTACTACTACGTCTGTTGTTACTACGACTAGTACTAATGTTCTGAAGTAAAGATACCAGAGTGTAAGTGTATGGTTATCTACTACTACTACTACTACTACTACTAAGTAGTAGTAGTAGTAGTAATAGTCCGCTTATTTGGCGCTCATATCCAGGCACATTGCCTGCTCACGGTGTCATAGGACACTATCGAACTTTCCGATACTTTTTCAACTCCCCAGGAAGCCTACAGCCATGCTGCCTGTTAGGCGCAATGAACTAAATACTCACATTGCCAGAACATCCTCACGGGTACCCTTTTTATAGCTGGGTGAACTGAGACAATGTAGATTTAAGTATCTACAACTACTGCTGCTGCTGTTGCTGCTGCTACTACTGCTACTACTGGTACCACTAGTACTACTACTACTACTACTACTACTACTACTAGTAGTAGTAGTAGTATCACTACTACTACTGCTACTACTTCTACTACTACAATATTGTATAAGTGTGTGTTTGCTGCTGCTAGGACTACTACTTCTACTGTTATTACTACTACAGCTACTACGACTACTACTACTACTACTTCTACTGCTATTACTACTACTGCTACTACGACTTCTATATACTACCAATATTACAGCTGCTATTAACAATACGCCATTTACATTGCGCTTTATTACCACACGGGCATTCCCAAGCTCTGCTCCTATTATCCCGATCGATGGATCAGTGTGTGCTCATTTCATGCTCTGCTCTCTATCGAGTATCCCAAGCCTGTCAGGTATATAAAGCCGCTGTTGTGTCCCCACTGACTGACTGACAGCTACATCTAATCAATAAGTCATATTTAAATACACGATCTCTGTTTACAATAGGCAAGACAATAGGTCAAATAACTGTCGCAGGTTATTATACTATGGACCTCTGAATAGGGTCACTGTTGAACGTCTTGAAGCCTGTCTTCAACCTTGGATCCAGAATAGACTCGGAAGCTGGCACTAATTCGGTGTTTCCAAATGGGTTCCAAACCATATTTGGTGCGTCTTTTAAAAACATTGCGCCAAGTCAGGTAGAAAAAATTGTCACTTTTAGATAGGCACAGCTGGCCGTCTAGTTAGAAACTGCCCATTCAGAAACTTCTCGAACGATCATACCTGTTATACTCATGTGTACAGCAAGGGCAGACTACTCCAATTCTACCAATACAAAACAATTTTGGAACGTTCTACTCGCTTCTTCTGACAACTGCTCAAATCCAGCCACTACAGCACCTGGCACCTTTCTGTAATAAGTCCAATTCATGATCAGCTGCCAGTACAATAACCAAATATACCATCAACTGTTTTAACCATAACTAACGTTACTTACACAGTCAAGCCACGTAATCGTGAATGCAGTGAAAAGCTTTCTTTTGAATGGATAACTTCAAGGACGAAAATGTACATAACACCCTCAATTAAAGAACATGCTATCTGAATGATTAGCAAAACAGCATTTGTGTACTGATCCATCAACCGACTCTGAAAAGAACATCCGTCTTTACCCCTGATGTGCTTGATCTCATGATTAATCTCTTGCAATGACAAGCTCTCCCTCATCAGTCACTGATTTCGTTCAGGCAGCGGATTGTGATCAGTGAACACTTCAATGGGATACTTTGTAGTGCCCGAATACACCTAAAAAGGTTGCACTGTCAATATGGAGACCTGTTTTTGTCTCGAATGTGGAGTATTTTTTCCGGTGCTTAGCAAATGTCTTTGAAAAGTAACGCATTGGGTGATCGATGTCGCTTGCATCTTGCAGTAACCAAACACCAGCATCACCAATGTCATTTGCATCAACTGCGAGCTTAAATGTTTTCTCAAATCTGTTGATTTTAAGACTGGATGTGTGTGGTTTAGTGTATTGTCATAGATATCTACTCAGCCACCAGCGTTCCTCGCCAAGACAGGTTCCAAATCGAGCACATATCGGCACCACACGTACTGGCATGGGTGCGGGACATAATGGCACGGCACCTGATACCTTTACACAAGTAAGGCGTGTATCTTTAACGCTGAAATGGTCGAGGAAATGCCTGTTCGAAAATGTCATTTCGATGCCAGTTCAAAAATACCATTAAGTTGCCTGTTCAAAAATGCCATTAAGTTGCGCCTTACAACGTATATTATATACGACCTGTACATAATAAATCCTACTAGTAGTAGTAGTAGTAGTAGTAGTAGTAATAGTCCGCTTATATGGCGCTCATATCCAGGCACATTGCCTGCTCACGGTGTCATAGGACACTATCGAACTTTCCGATACTTTTTCAACTCCCCAGGAAGCCTACAGCCATGCTGCCTGTTAGGCGCAATGAACTAAATACTCACATTGCCAGAACATCCTCACGGGTACCCTTTTTATAGCTGGGTGAACTGAGACAATGTAGATTTAAGTATCTACAACTACTGCTGCTGCTGTTGCTGCTGCTACTATTGCTGCTACTGCTACTACTGGTACCACTAGTACTACTACTACTACTACTAGTAGTAGTAGTAGTAGTATCACTACTACTGCTACTACTTCTACTACTACAATATTGTATAAGTGTGTGTTTGCTGGTGCTAGGACTACTACTTCTACTGTTATTACTACTACAGCTACTACGACTACTACTACTACTACTGCTATTACTACTACTACTGCTATTACTACTACTGCTACTACGACTTCTATACTACTACTTCAATGCTATTACTACTGCTGCTACTAACTTCTATATACGCCAATTTACATTTAACAATACGCCATTTTACATTGCGCACCACACCACACGGGCATTCCCAAGCTCTGCTCCTATTATCCCGATCGATGGATCAGTGTGTGCTCATTTCATGCTCTGCTCTCTATCGAGTATCCCAAGCCTGTCAGGTATATAAAGCCGCTGTTGTGTCCCCACTGACTGACTGACAGCTACATCTAATCAATAAGTCATATTTAAATACACGATCTCT